GCTTCAGACGAGCCCCGAGTAGTGCTCACACTGACAAGGTCAATAGAGGGGATTTCAGTGGCCTTGACTTTCAGCCAGTCAAAATCAAGAATTTCAGAATAGCGTGAGTGGGTAAGTGAGGGAGTGATAATGATTCAATGTCCGTTCAAAAGGGAAAATCGGGGTGGGGTTATATAATGTTCAATTAGGCAAACAAACAAGGAAAGAAATCACACATACATAAACAAGAAAAGAAAATATCACATGCAAATCAGTAAGGTAGCCGGTAAGAGGAGAAATCGAATTCCAAAACCTTAATTAGGGTTTCAACGTTCGAAATTGGCCAACTGGTGTGAGAAATCATGCCCCTTTCCATGTATATGGACAAAATATCGTCTAAATCTCAAAGTTTGAGGTCAATCCAGTCCGATCTAGGAGATAGTACATGCCAGAATTAGGTAAGTACCTAAGTAACACCACAAATGTGTGATCAGTAGCAGAGGAACATAAATAGGATAAGCAAATAATGGATGAATCTCATTATCAATAGGATTCAGAGAGGGATTGAAAGGGGAGGCAGCTAGGGTTCTTTAGAGAAGGAGGGGAGGTTTCTAGAGAATTTAGGGGTGGCGGTCGGGTAGAAAATGGATTAGGATTTATGAAGGGGGGAGGGATATAAAGAGATGGATAGGTTGATTATGGTTCGTTGTTCATTTGAGATCAACGACCAGAATTAAAAGTGGAAGTGGGGAGGGTTATGAGAATGGGTCCCGACCGGGTTAGGCGTAAGGGTTGTTTGGTTTGGGCTAGGGATTTTGGGCCTTTTTGATCCGGTTTTGGCTCAAAATTGGGCTGGGATTTAAAATAAATAAAATTAATAAAAATAAATAAATTAATAAATAACTAAATAAATATAAAAAATACTATTTATGCAACTTAATATTTTAAAAAAAAAGAACTGAAGATTGTAACAACATAAAATATTATTTTGACCCAAATAATATAGTAAATGCAATTAATTGTAGAGTATATGCTTTTATTGCAAATATTGTAAATAATAATAAATAAATATAAATATAATTATATAAATGGAGTAAGATATTATAAAATGTGCATATGGGTTTAAATGATTAATTTAAATCACTCAAAATAATTTGAGAAGTAATTACTAAATATTTGAATAATAAAAAATGCAAGAAATCAATTTTAAAAGCTTTAAAAATTATAGAAATCACTTATATGACCTCTATAAATTGGGTAATAGTGAAAACTGATATTTTAAAAGTATATGAAACACTTGATAAAATATGAGGACAAATTTGAATATCAAGAAGGAACACCCGCAAACGCGAAAGCAAACAGGTCATCCCACGCGCGAACGTGGACACACTACCTCGAACGCGAAGAACTGCCCCAACTCCAATCTCTTATACACGAACACGATCTTCCTATCATGAATGCATAGACCGAACTATCACATGACGCTCCCTCAACGGGAACACGTCGCTCTTCATGCGAGCACACTGTACAAAATTCACGCCTGCCAATATCTTCTCTCCGCGATCGCGAGATTCTTCTTCGTGATCACGAAGCATTACCTTGCACCAGCAAATCAGTTATAAAAAACTCAACCGAAATGATCTGAAATCACTCTGAAACACATTCGAGCCCCTTGGGGCCTCGTCCAATTATACCAACAAGTCTAAATATAATATCCAAACTTATCCAAAGGCTCAAATACCGCAAATAACATCAAAACTGCGAATCGAAGATCAAATTCATTCTCTTAACTTTCAAAGATTCTAACTTCGCCGAACTCGTCCGAATCACAATTAGACATTTCGGGCCACAATAAAACTTCGCACACAAGTTTCAATCAACTAAATAAATCCATACAAGGTCTCAAAACCACAATCCAACTCCGATAATACCAAAATCAACTTTCGGTCAAACTTATGATCTCTCCAATTCATTAAATTGCCAATTTTCAACAATTAGAGCCAAAACCTTCTAGGAACATCCAAATTCAAATTCGAACACACACCCAAGTTCAAAATTACTTGAAACCATCAAATTCCAATTTCGAGGTCATTTACTCAAAAATCAAACTTTGGTCAACTCTTCTAACTTAAAGCTTTCATATTGGGAATTATTTCAACCCCGAACCTTGTGAACGTCAAAACCAACCAACATACATAAGTCATAATATATCATATGAAGCTACTCAAGATCTCCAAATACCGAACGGAATACAAAAACTCAAAATGACTGGTCGAATCGTTACATAATATGTTTAGTAATGATATAATGTGATAAAATAATATTCCTAGAATTCCCTATAGAATAACAAATGTAATACCCGTGTTTTTCCCAAGTGGAATTAGCATGGTATGAAGGAGATCGACACCTTGGAGTTTGCTACCAAAGAGAACTAAAAAGTGGTCTAATATATATTTTTTCTGTCACGTTTTAACTTGTGCCTGCTTTGTAAAAAAAAATTGCAAGCGTACCTGCTTTTTCACATAACTTCAGCATATGGGGCTGAAGTAGCAAAAGCAATCACGCAAAACTTCAGCATTCTAGTAGACGGACCTGAAATAGCAAGTGTGCTGAACCAAGTATGCTGAAGTTTTTGTTTTGTAACTGGCGAACTTCAGCTCTAGAGCTGAAGTTTTTATTTTGTAACTGGCAAACTTCAGCTCTAGAGCTGAAGTTATTTAGTTTATTTGTAAAAACTTCAGCACTATTTATGTTTGTTTGGGATCTTGGTCATCTGTATTTTGTTTGTGAAAGTAAAACTCATACGTATTGATTTTTTTACTTTTAAATCAAACATAATCTGTTTATAAAGCGATGAAATGGAATGTATACTATTGTGCCTACACAACTACAAAGTGCTTTTATGAAATGATTGCTACAGACCACACATCCTTATTTGTGGTACTCATTTCTGAAAAATCGACAAGAAAAACTACTGAAATAATGGCCAAAGCACTCATATACACGGCCTATATTTCTATGAAAGAAACCACAATTTCATTTGATTAATTGGATAAAAGAAACTAAGTGATTTTATCTCACCGAAGCAGTTGTGACTTTCCATTTCCTTTGCTTGAAAATGAAGGAGGAGGAGAAATGGGACTAAAGTTATTTAAAAAGTAGGTACAAGTTGAAAGTTTTAAAAAAAATAGGTATAGGTTAAATGGAGGCGACCAAATAAGGCGCCCCGTACAATTTTTATTAATATTTGGTTTTGTTTGTGTATCGGCCTGCTGGAGGTGGCAAATCTCTGTTTCTAATTATGTTTTGCTTATGAATATCTAACATTTAAAGAATCTGTTATACAGTCAAACAAAGAGGGAGAATCTAATTTTAAGAATTTATAATACATGAGAAGTTCTAAATATTATGTTAAGTATTTACAATTTTATCTAATGTAGGAGTTAATTTTAATGTTTTAAATATTAAGAGGTAACTTAAATTACGATTTTATCTAGTGTACATATATTATTTAGAGGAAGAAAAAGGGCTTCATGCTTTTGATGTACTGGGCTGTATCTACTGATTATTGTTTTGATATTCATCTAATTTCTCGTTCTGGTGATGCTGTTATTTGTTTCATGGTTTCTTTTGATGGTACTGATTTATTGCCTCTTTTTGTCTTCTTGAGCCGATGACCTTTGGGAAACAACCTCTTTATCCCCTTTGGATAGAGGTAAGGGCTGCGTATACACTATTCTCCCCAGATCTCACTAGTGAGATTTAATTGGGTTATTGATGTTGTTTGTTGTTGCTTCATTGTTTTGATACACTATATAGATAGATAGATAAATAAAGATTATTTTTAATAATGTGTATATAGATACTCCCTTCGTTCCAATTTATGTGAACCTGTTTGACTAGGTACGAAGTTTAAGAAAAAATGAAGACTTTTTGAATTTGTGGTCCTTAGGGGTGTTCATGGTTCGGTTTGGGTCGGTTTTTCCCTAAAAAAAAAAACCAAACCAAGTAAGTCGGTTTTTCAAATATTGGAACCAAACCAAACCAATTAAGTCGGTTTTTTATCGATTCGGTTTTTGTTGGTTTTTTCAGTTTTCTCGATTATTTATCGGTTTTTTTCTTAAATATGAGACATACACTACCAAACACATATTCCGGCTACTACATTTTCAATGTAACACTATCAGATCAATTGCTCTTTGAGAAATCTATCATTTACCAAGATATATTGATAATAATTGAATCAAATAGTGATGAATAATTTAAATAATCAATTAAAAAATCGATTATTTTTACATGAAATAAATTCTTGTATTTAGCAAAAGAAAACTACCAATCAAACGAGAATGTAAAAGTAAAGAATTAAATTATTATAATAGCAAAGAACTAGACTAAAAATACAAGTGACTAAGATGTACTATAAAATTTTAGAAACTTTGTATAAAAGTATACATATATATAGGTGTAATAATAAATTTAAATAGCTATTTTTATAGTCGGTTTGGTTCGATTTTTTCGGTTATTTTTTTTATTAAAACCAAAACAAAACCAAATTTGATCGGTTTTTAAAATTTAAAACCAAAATCAAACCAAACCTAAAAAGTATCGATTTTTTTGGTCGGTTTGATTTTGTTTTCGGTTTGGTTTGGTTTTTCGGGTTTTTATGAACACCCCTAGTGGTCCTAATCAAGTCAAAATAGGGTCCAAAGTATTTGTGTGGTTATAAAAGCTTCTCATTAAGAGTAAAATTGAAAGTTTAAGCTAAATTATTTCCAACTTTAAAAAGAGATCAATCTTTTTGGAACGGACCAAAAAGAAAATAGGTTCACGTAAATTGCAAGTGTGTGCAAGTGGATGGCTGCATGGACATGCCTCCCTAGTCAAATATGTTTACTAGAAGCTTCAATAAAAAAGGAGGAGAGAGAAAAGGGAGATCAAATGCCAACAAATACTATATTTCTTATTCTACATACAAACAAATAATATATACGTAGGTAGACCACATTTTAGGATTCCACGCTATCGGCATTCTTATTATGACCCTCTTCCTACCAACTTCACCCTCTTATAACAATGACTCAAAACGATGGTAATTCTGTAAATAGCTTCACTTTCGACTCTCATTTCATTTCTATTCACTCCCTCCCGCTCATGAAAAACCCTAACAAAAAGCTGACACTCCAATGAGTCTGAAAATCTAAAAAAACAGTTGGCAGAATTTAACATTTAACGGTCAAATTGGAATTTTTCAAACAAAAAGAACCCTATTTTGAACCTTCAAATTTGGAAATTCTATTGCTTGAAGTAAAGGGTTCAATTTCTTTCCTTGTAAGTTCACACATTTTAGCTTTTCCTACATAATAACTATTGCTTTACTTTTTACTTGTTAACTTTGGTTTAATTAGCTTGTAGTATTAATTAAGCTCAAACTTTAGTTAATGGAGCTGAGGAATTTAATGGATTTCAGTGTATTTTGTTTTATGGGTATGTCTTTGTGATTGTTTATTGTGAAACGCAATTGGGACTTTGCTTAATCTTTCATTAATGATTTTTGGTTGTTGTTGTCTCTTTTATGCCATGATATTAAAAATGAATTTTTTTGACAGAATTAATTTTTTCCAATGGAGCTGTCACTAACAATTACTAGACAAAATATTCTGTTCTTACAAGTAAATGCATGAAACCCGAGTAGGCTTGCAAATCAGATCATGGTACGATCATTCTGAGTTCTCTTAGAAGTGTAATTGGGTATTTGCCGATACACAATCAAATCTGCCTAAGCCTTGGTGGGTAGAGTTACCTGGTACCTGGTACCTGGGAGGTAACAGGTACCCGGGTGGAATACTCGAGGTTTGCTTGTTACTAATGTAGTCTAGTCTCTCTTCTGTTTTTTAAGACGTCATTTAAAAAAAAAAATTCACAGTCAAGGTTTGCTTGTTACTAATGTACTCTAGCCTCTCTTCTGTTTCTGATCCATTGCTTCACTCTGTAGTTGTATTGGTAGTGTCAATGCAGAAGATATGAATACATTGACATACTGTGTGCAGGTATGTTTATCTTATGGGTATCACCGAGGTGTTAGAGAATGGAGGAGCTGGTAATGGGAATGGTATAAATTCATGTGGTGGTAATGCTTATGTGGGAACAAGTAATAGTGGGCCTGAGAGAATGGTGAATGGTGGAAGCGGAAGTGAGAATTTGGGTGATGAAATTTTGGAGGACTTTGACTTGTATTGGGAAGATATCAATGACCGGATGATGGTGTCGAGGATGGTGAGTAACTCTGTTGTTAAGGGAATTGTACGTGCTGTGGAACAAGAGGCGGATGAGAGAATGATTTCTAAGGAAATGGAATTAGCCAAGCTGAAGGAGTATTTGCAATTTCACGATGTGGGTCTGAGTAAAACTGAATCTTTGGGGTCACCTGTGTTAGGGGATGAGCTAGAGGGTTTGAATTCTCAGAAGCATTGGACTTCATCTGATGTTTTTCTGGAACATGAGAAGTTGAGAGAAATTCTGGATGGGCTAAGAAATTCAACCAAGGATCAGTTCAAGAAGCTGAAGAAGGGAATTGATAGGGTTAGAGGCTTCAGCTCTTTCAGAAGGAGTGGTTCTTGTTCAGAGTTGGTGGGTCTTGGTGGCATTTTGCGAGAGAAGGAATCTGAGAGTTGGGTACACGTCGACAAAACACTGAAGAATCTGAAAATGACCATGGAGGCCATTTTCATACGGATGGATGAAATGATACAGTTGTCCAAGACATCAATGGGGCAGTGGCAGGAGGAGCATCTAATTGAATCGGAGCTTGATGCTGTGGTGATGCAGAGTCTGATCCGGGGCATGCAGGAAGGTTTTGAGGACAAATTGTGGGATCAGTATCATCAATCACGTGACATTCGAATTGAGAAGTTGAATGAGATCTCTAGTTTGCGGAATGGTATAGAGATTATATTGAAGTCATTGTCAAGTACAGAAACAGGGCGTCTGACATTACATGGATCTCAGGATGTGGACCACTTTCACCGCAAGATGTCAAGTGAGCATGTGGCATCTTCAAAATCTATTTGGGAGGAAAAAGGGTGGCTGGAGGATTCAAAAAGTGATATACCCGAGAAGTTTGAAGCTGCCTCATTGAAACACATGTCACGGGAGGAAATGGTGGACTATTTTAATAATATGATGACAAAGATGAAGAGAGAACACGAGTCCATTCTGGAAAAGAAAACTGATGACTACTTTGCTCTAAGACGCGAATATCTAAATCTTATAGGAAGGGGGTCTATTGTGCCGCATAAGACGGATCAGGGGGAGTTTGATTTTCTAAGAAAGAAGATCCCAGAAGTTATATTGAAATTGGACGATATCCTTGTAAAGAATAAAAACTGTCCTGAATTTACTCAGAAAGCTGAAAGTTTAGACAATTTGAAGGACAGAATCGACAGCCTTCTTTCGGAAAATCGTCAGCTAAACGAATTGCTTAGAGATAAGGAAAATGACGTGAAGTGTATGTTGTCCGAAATTTCCAGCGCTGCTGAGAAGAGTCGGCAACAGTCTTTTGCTGAAGTTAACATGCTAAAGCAAATAGATGATATCAATTTAGTTGTGGAAGACTTACAGATAGCAGCTTCAGTCCGGGAAGAAGTGTATACATGTTTTCTGAGGGATCTCATTAGAAAGAAAGGCAGAGAAGCTGATGAGTCAAGCATGGAGTTTCATATTATGAATGGAATTTATGATATTATTTTGAGGGAAGCTTACATTAATGCCGAAAGTACCAGCAAATTTGAACTTGAAGATTCAGAGTTAGAGTGTCTGATAGTGCAAGATCTTTATGGAGTGATTTTCAGTGAAGGAATCAAGGATGCTCAGGACAAGCTCAAAGAATTGTACCAGGATTATTTGAATGAAAATGAAGGTCGGATATTTCTTGAGATGAAAGCTATTCAGAGGGAATATGAATTAACATTGGAGGTTGAAGAGAAGGAAAAACTAAAGCAAATGATTTATCAGCTCGAAACGTCAGTGGATGAAAAGGACAAATTAGCAAGAGATGCATCAACTGCTCTAGCAAAGGAGAAGGAACATTTTCAGTTGGTAACTCAAGAGCTCAATGCTGTGAGAGAACATGCAAGTAGGCAGCAAAGATTAGTTTCTGAGAACAATATAGAGTTAGATGCAGTAAAGAGTCAATTGGCAGAAGCATTGGAGCAAATTGAAGTACTGAAGGAGGTGACCCACCAGTTAAATCAAAAGCTTGTAGAGAAGGTGCAGGAGTTAAAAGAAGCTGATGACAAAACAAAGGTGGTCCTTGCTGTTTCTGAGGAGAGGCAGAACATTTTGGCCTTAAATGAAACCAAAGAAATTGAGCAAAGAAAGCAGATGGAAACAGTAATTTGTACGGTGCATGAGCTGTCAAAAATGCTTGCGGATTTTGAATACAGGGTGAATGGCAGTCTTGAAACTAATCATGCGAGGTATGTGCTTCATAATCCACATGGTATTAATGATTACCTTTTAAAGTTATACTTTTCAACCCTCAGGGGTTGGCCTGGTGGCAATTGACTTGAGCCTTGGGTTTGCTCCCTGTCAAGGTCTCAAGTTCGAAACCCACTGGGTGCAAACAATTTCTGAGGGCCATCGGACTGGGTAAAACCTGAATTAACCGTGGTGCACTTGCGAGAAACTCCTTGTCGAGGGCCTGTGCACCCCCGGGATTAGTCGGGGCTCTAAGAGACTCGGACACCCGGTGCAAAAAAAAAAAAAGTTATACTTTTCCACATATGGACTCTTGTGAGTCCTATCAAAATTTTAGATACCAAAAAGTTCTACCGGCACAGTAGAGTTCCAAACTGGGTAAAAGCCTGATTAAAATAGTAATAAATGTAATGACATAAGAAATAAATGATACTCGAAACAATTCTATCTTCCAAAATGGTAAATTTATAGTGATACTATGGAAATGTGTAATATTTTCATTACTCTATATAAGTAAAAAGCAATATATAAAATTTATGTAAATACTTAAATATGCTAGTTCATCTATTGAAAGGGAAATGACATTAAGTTAAATAGTTAATCACAATTGCCTAATATGATTGTTACCGTAATATTACCAATTAAAAAAGGAAGCATTGCTAATGCAGCTGTCATTATTATCTTTATGAAAATCAACTATATGTATGTACTCCCTCCGTTTCAATTTATGTGTCTTACTTTCCTTTTAGTCTATTTCAAAAAGACTGCCTCTTTCTATTTTTAGTAACTATTTAACTCCAACATTTCACATGACATATTTAAGACCACAAGATTTAAGGGCATCTTGGTACATTACACATATCTTTAGTTTAAGACTGCAAGATCTAGAAGTTTCTTACTTAAGCTCCGAGCTAAGTCAAACTAAGACACATAAATTGAAACAGAGGGAGCATTTGATAAGTTAATGTACAATTATTTTGAGATGGCAGTCATCTTTACATTAGCCCCAACAAAAATATGGAATGCCTATAACATAACAAACCCCATTATACATAACTTTGCCATTTTAAAAAATGGGCCAAGATAGAAGCCTAAATGACCCAACAACAGATTTCTTTACTCTAAGTGCTAAACTTGAATTTAAAAGAAGAATCCCTTCTCTTCAAATTGGGATTGCCCGTAAACTTTGCTCTGCTTTCTAATACTAACCTGCCATAGTTTCTTCCTGCCACATCAATCTATAGGCCCTTATATACCAGGGAACATTCAAATGCTGTAGAATAGGACTCTCTTATGCAGCTCAACAGGATCCCTCTTGATATCCATATTGCTTTCTTGATCAAAAAAGAAAAAAAATTTACGTTGTTAAAACTAAACCTTATTGGTCTCAAAAATTTGAATTATACGTAAAAGCTAATCATGAGATGAAATAACACTTACAGTTATTTTCCCCAAGTTTTCTTCATGGAAGGAAAAGATTCTACTTTTTGCTGTCACAAATTGCCAGTTGATTATAAGTTGGATATCTATTTCTATCCTTTAGTTTTTTCCCTTTTGTCGATAATATTTACTCATCTACTCCTTAATGGACTCGTTCTCTCCATGTGCCCTACCCCAGCTATAGATAAGCTATTGTTTAATGCATCAACCTGGTGCGCTAAGATCTCGCTAAAAAAGGACCAGACCACATTGGGTCTTTTCTACAGTTTTACCTTGCTATTTTGTAAGCTACTGTTTTCATGGCTTGAACCCTTGACCTACCGGTCACATGGCAGCTAAGTCTTCCCGTTGTGCCTAGTTTCCCTCCTGTTTACTGCACCAACATGTGCCAAAAAAGTTTTCCAGCACTAAAACATTGTGCATTTCTTTATTGTAGTTTACAAGCCTATTTGTCTATGCATATCCTGATTTTTTTTTGTATGCATCGGAAATCAGGTATATAGGTGTTATAACTGGCTTAGTTATTGTATAGTAATCGGGAATTTTTTTAACTGGATTAAGCATTAACACCATGTTTTTACGGTAGACTGGCTTAATCATTTTATACTAATAGGAAATACAGTGTATACTTGTACATGTTCATTTTTCATTTAACTGGCATAAACACACGCAGGCAGACACGCATGCACATGTGCACACATACACATGGACCTAGGTTATAGAAGATAAGAATTCTTGAATTTTACAATGTGTTGATTTGCCTACAGCATAATAGATTGTCTCAATACTTTCAGGTTGGAGCATTCATCGTGTCAATTGAATTCTCTTGCTAAGAAGACCAATTCACTTAGAAGAACAGTGCTATTGTACCGCCAGAGGCTTGAAAAAAGATGTTCAGATCTTCAAAAGGCCGAGGCTGAGGTAATGACCTGCATTTATTAGGCATAGGAATATAATCAGTTGGAGTATGTTAATCTACATGCAGCCTCCAAACTAATGGAGAGATGGTTGACTTAGGTTAATTGAAAATCTGACTCTCGTTATGATCCCTGCTAAAGTTATCTAACTATAAAGAGACAAAATAAGCAATTGATAGTACGGACATCAAAATGAATTTTCCATTTATATCGATTTCTATTTATTTACAAGCTGTAGAACAACAACGACATCTCAATCCCAAACTACTTGGTTGGCTATTTGAATCATCTATAATCATGCCATTTCATTTGGATAGCTATGAAGATATAAAATTACCTATTAAAAATTGTATTGATCCTGTATATTTTTTTTTGTTTTGCATGTTCATAATAGTTCTCTTTTATCAAAGCATTTTCATAGTAGCTAACTCTGCAATGACTTCAAGTGTAAGTTCCAAGCCTACTACATAAGTAAAAACATCCTTTGATTTATCCATGCTTCTATAGTTTGCCTGATATAGCCCCCAGGGCCTAGCTCAAGTGGCAAAGGGTGGTGGATTTGTGTCTTAGGTTACAGGTTCAAGCCCCCACACCATGCAAAGCAAAGCCTGGTATTTAAGTGGAGAAGGGTAGAGGGGCGGGCCCATTATCCACCGAGTTTCGAAGCCTGCGGTTGGTCCAAAGGATCGGCCCCAGACAGATTTCTCGGTCATCAAAAAAAATATATTAGTTTGCCTGATATATTTTAAATTCTATATTCAGGTTGATCTTTTGGGAGATGAGGTAGATACACTTCTGCGACTACTTGAAAAGATATACATCGCACTTGATCACTACTCGCCAGTTTTGCAGCATTATCCTGGAGTAAGTCAAATCTTCTGCTCAAAGAAATCTTAATTAACTTTCCCCTTCAATATAAGTGTTTTTGGGTTCTTTTGATTTAACTTGGAGCAAGTAAACTTGTTCAAGTATTGTCTCTAAGATTGCAAATACTAAAAATAATTCTATTGAGGCTGCTAGATTCAGGAACTGGCCTTTGCATCTGAATACAGAATTTTTCTTGGCACCAAGTTTTGAAGGACAAGTTAAAGGGAGAAATTAAGAAAAAACAACACCAGAGTATGTAGTAGTTATCATGTGGGGACTATCAGTAACTGCGGTTGAAATGGCAAGTGGGATAAAAGAATTTTCCTGCTGCTGGTGAACAATTCCAGGGGTTGGGTGGAGGATTGGGCATTTAGGACTATCAGTAACTGCGGTTGAAATGGCAAGTGGGATAAAAGACTTTTTCCTGCTGCTGGTGAACAAATTCCAGGGGTTGGGTGGAGGATTGGGCATTTAGGTGTGTGTGTACGGGGTGGGGGTGTTTGACTAGTTGCAGTTTCCCCTGAAGCTTGTATTGTAAGAGGTAACATTGTATCTTCTTACATATCTCTTTTATTCAAATGCAGATTATTGAAATTCTTAAGCTGATAAGAAAGGAGTTAAGGGGAGATTCTGCTAAACCAGTGAAGTAATCTCCTACATAAGGTAATTTTCTTTTGCTATTGGTTAAATTTTATATGGTGGTCTTGGAAGCAGTATAATATTGCTCGATTGCTATCAGTGAGAGCACCAGAATACTGGAGTGTGAAATGTCTNGTTGCTATCAGTTAGAGCACCAGAATACTGGAGTGTGAAATGTCTATGCAAAAGAGTACATATTACTATATTAGTACTTTTGTTTTCTGGATAGTTATTGCTTTCATCTTTCGAACATAAGGAAAAAGGAAACAACTATTGTTGAGTTATGTGCTACTTTTTGTATCTGCTATAGCTTCAACATTAGTCTAGCTTCACCCCCATATATTGGTAAGAATTTTTGAGTTATGCTACTTGTTATGTCCACATTAGCTTCAACATTAGTCAAGCGTCACCCTACCTTTTGGTAAGAAAAGGAAAAAATGAATCTTAGTTAAATAACTGCCCTCCAATTACAATAATTTTGGGAAAATGACATTGTATAGCCACTCTCAAAATAATAGCCGAAAAAATGTATATTTTTCTTATCTATCTATATATATATATATATATATATATATATATATATACACACACACATTATGTATGTTATATACAAA